TCCGAGAATCAATGCTAGCATTCGATGTGCCGTAGGTGGATTAGATGCTACTAACCGCAACAAAGGTCATGATAAGTAGTATGTGAATAACTGGACAAAATTTCCCTGGAAACACACGACCAGTTTCTCGGTTCTTGCCGCTCGTTAGGCATGCGTATCCGGTAATCTTTTGTCAGTTCATTTATATACATATATATATACATATACATACATATATATACATATATCGAGAGAGATAGAGAAGAAAGAAAATATCCAAGTTTCCCATATGTTGATGAACTACCGGTTCTTTCGGATTTTTGGCTCTCTATATTGATGTAAGCCGTTTATGACCCTATCACTATTGCCAAACCGGGATACCCTGGTTTTACCATCCGTCGTAGTGTAAATGCACTTCTTGTTGGGTGCACGTTGAACCCTGCCAGTCGGACACAAGTATCTTCTCTTTTGTTGAGAAGTCATTCATATGTAGGCCCAGAAAACGGATTATTCGTAAAGAAGGGAAAACGTCCTTGACGGGACGAAGAAGCACTCTTGAGGCATCAAAACAAAAAAATGGAACGAGAGGGTGGACCGAGGTGAATACACATACTAACGGAAACACTAACTACCCAAAAGCAAACATGCGCAATCGAGCGGAAGGCCTACACATCGTTGCACCTTTTCTCTTGGACTTTCACGTGCCATTTTGATGCAAAATGTAATACACATGAAAATAATCAATTTTCTCATCCTATGGTCATCCTCATGCACATGTTTATTGGGACTCAACCTAAAGGTTTGGAAAGTTACGAGACTTTTCAAAATATTGACGCTCGATTTTACAGAAACAGAACATTCTAATACTTTCTACGAATCAAATATATTGAAATTTCGCGGTTTTCAATTAGTGGATTACTTCTAAATAATTCTATAATTCTATAATAAACGCAACACCCCAAAACCGATCAGTGTTCAAATGGAAGCGACAATTTGTTTATTTTGTACCACAGATCGCTTCTAGAGATGACCGATAGCCTCCCCTGTTTTTATAGCACTATCATCAATTTGTAAATCTAAATATCTAAGGGTGGATAAAAATTCATCAATGGGACAATATGAACCGATTCTATTTTTCATCTGAACGACATGGAAACTTCCCTTGTGGTACTCTGTTTTGCTAATTTGTTTCCATCGGCAGCGGTTGACTTATATATCAATTCATCATTGATTTAATTTATTTGAGTGGTCAAATTATCAGGATGATTAGCTGAGAGTATGATTATTCAATTCGATCAAACATTTCATTAACCCAACTGAGGATGGAAACCAAGT